TGTTAGCAGACAAACGAAACGTAAATTAGTTCACTTCACCGACTGCTTAGTGATAAAATCATTCAATAAATTAAATACTTAAATAGCTAAGCTTTCATTACTAGTGACATTATCTGTGGCAAAACAAATGGCCCGCGGTTATATCATGATACTCATAATTATTGGCCGTTATCTTTTCTATTCAACAATAAATTGCTGCAAATAATTCGTCCATTTTGTTAAAATATCGGTAAATACTTATTTAGTTCATTAGGTACATGTCTTTCATTCACTTTAAGTCAAATCATTACATACGCGATTAACTATTATTTATTTAACCAAAATTTTAAGAATCTTTGCATTTGATAATCCAACTTTATAACTTTAAATCGTTCTACCTAACGTACAGCCCAACATGTATATTACATAGACAAATATTTGAAATCAATAACAGTATCAATTAACAATATTGTTTCTCCTAAAATAGCGTTTAATTTATTTCATGTTCCGCTCGCTCACGCACATTCCCGCTTTCCGCCCACAGTGCGTCTTACCACAGTACCTACATAATCTGTAACGATCGACATTTATCTATGTAAAACAAGTATGTTGACTGTCGTATGTTAGTGCTGATCTAAACGCACGCGATCTATCGCGTGCTAGACAAGTGTCGCAAGTGATAACAAGTTCGCCATTAAACTTACAACTTTTACATTGGGACTTATCAAGTAAGTTTTTAATACAAGTGTTGTGTATTCGCAAAAAGTTTTGGTACAAAATAGGTTTTAATGTGAATGTGATAAAATTTTAATACTAGCCAGTGATTTTGAAATGGCATCAAAAAGTAAAAAAGAAGAACAAAACAAAGTCAAAGTCAAAGCATTTATTTCAATTAAACCATAGTTTGGTGCTTTTGAAACGTCAACAAATACAAAATAAATAATAGTCTGTCAGTCAGTCCGTCAGTGAAACTAGGTGAAGCTAGGTGCTCATTCCAAAAAGTAGATTCGAATGGAGAAGAACGAGCAAGAAACTCCATTCGTTAACAAATAACTAATGGCTTTTCTCCTATTTTTTCCTACTAATCAGCCAGTATCCATGTCTTTTCTTGTAAAATATTAAGCCTCTTTGGGCAACTAGAGCACGTGAAATATTGATACTGACCATTAATTTTAAAATGGCATCGTAAAAAATTAAGTGACAAATAACTAATGGCATTTCTTAATTTTTTGGAACAAATCAGCCAGTGACATAGTTTTTTTTTTAATTTATTTCATTTGATATGTCCAAACTTTTTGTTTGATAGGTATTAAAAAAAATACTCTTTCATACACTTATAATAAGTAACTACCCTTTTTACTATAGTTAATTCTTAGTTTATCTATGACAGAAAAATCATGAGAAAAATAGAACAAATCTGTATTCAATGATGCGTATCTCTTTCCATTCAATAAATAAAAATATTCAACAACACACGTTTTTGTATCCGTCCATATTTATTATTATTCATAAAAACTTCAATAACCTGTTGTAGACCAATTAATATTTCCGTGTTAGACACAAAATTAATATAATCGTAGAAATGAATAATAATGTTGATAAGTAAGAATTAAGATACTAATTAATTAAGAAGTTATAATATTCATATAAACATGTTTAGGTATTTTATGAAGATACTTCAATAACATTAATCATTTTTGTACTTATGTTTATTATTATTTTAGAGAGTAGAATGAATACTTTTTGATGAGTTTTAGCAAAAAATACATTATCAATATCTTTTAACAAATCTAAGTTTATGAGATATCACATTATCATAAAACCTCTTTTCCAACCATAGACAATAATTTATGCACCATAAACTGTAATGGCGCCAAAAGAAATGCGTATCCGTTAACAATTCTTCACACCTTTTTATTTTCAATTCCTTGCCAAGTATGTATGATGCTCATCGTTAGCAAACTGAATTGAATAGCCTTTATGCATAATGATATAATGCAAAGCAGAATGCAGTTAATTGACTCGATTGCGATAGCCTTCATTGGCTTCATAATTTATAAAATAGACTTCAGTATCGATGATACACAAGACACATCAAGCTATGCATAAGAATAACCAGTATAAACTGATCCCTGAATATGCGAACACATTATAATATAAAGCAAGACCACGATGAACTGGTTTTTTAGGTTGATATGTAGCCGTATGTACATGGTTTTCCATTCATGTCGCGATAATGGTATCATTAAACATAATTTTATATTATCTGATAATAAGATGACAGTGCGAGAACCAGTATAGGCTTTAATGAGCCGTATTAAAATTAAGTTACATATTTTTAAAGCAGATACTTGCAATGAAGCCAAGTTCTTAACTTGACAAGTACTTAATTTATTTAGGGCTCGTACACAAAACTGCGACGTGACGTCACATTGCAAAAATGTGCGAGGTCTCTCATCGCAAGAACTTGCGAATTGATTCGCATCGCGCATCAAAATCTTATCTTCCCAAAATCTTCTTTGTTTCTTTTTCCTCTATCTCCTAGGACCTAGGTAATAATAGAAGTGCCCACTTCTTTTTCCGATTCATGTCACGACCTAGTTTTCAATTTAAATTACGTTTAGTACGCTTTACGATCGTTGAAGGAATGGTCACCCTGGGAGACGCCTTGTCGCACGAAATCGCATCGCAGCAATTCGCATCGTAATTTTCTGCGTTGCGAATTCGCATCGCATCGCAGTTTTGTGTACGAGCCCTTAGAGTTCGATCGATGTAATAGTTACCTATTTAAAGTATTCGACTAATAAAACGAGGGTTTTATATTTAAACTGCCAATAGATGTCTATTAGATTATAATTATCCCTGAGATTGAGACATGGCCAATAATATAGTCGGGTGGTCTTACCGTACCTAAGATTCGATATCACATGATCACGACATCGATTAATTCGGTTGCAGTAAAAATGTAGGAAAAAGAAATCTGCTGAAATATTAGGGAAAATTCGCAACAAAACTAAGTAATATCTAAATGTAAAATTAATGACGACTGTTACAAATATACGATAATGATACTTCATATTGTAATTCGTAATAAATTATTTTATATTATCTGACTGCCTCGTTGGCCGAGTGGTCGCAATTGCGACTGCCGAGCAAGGGGTCTCGGGTTCGATTCCCGGGTCGGGCAAAGTATTACTGGGTTTTAAAAAAATTCTCAGTAGTAGCACGGAGTCTGGAACTGTGCCCGTTATATGGCAATAGGGTCACCCCCTATTACATGGGACTCATAACATAAATAGTGAAAAGTGGGTGTTACATTGTACAGTGGCATAATGTGCACCTCTGCCTACCCCTTTGAGGATAAAAGGCGTGATGTTATGTTAATAAATTATTGTACTAAGTACAAGGTTGGTTTAAAAAAAAATCATCAAAAATATCCCAGGGAAAATCCAGTCGCACCCATACAACATCGAAGTGGAGGTCGCTAGCATAGCAAACATGAATATAATTCGTCATAGAAAACACTTTCATTTCATAACAATTGAAAAATCGATACACTAAAATGCTCATTTACTCTTTACGTTCATGCTATTGTTAGTTTAATAACAGCAGTCTATGATTTACCCCTCACGATACGACGCCGACACGAGATCTCACGACACGAAACAACAAACCTTCCCGCACAAATAGCAGACAATCAGAAATTATGGGCGCACTGTCGGTTAGCCTGTAAGCCTTTGAAAAATTAACCGCTACTAGTACATTTTAAACCTTAACGGAGCGTTTTTAAAGATAAAATTCATACGTATCATGTTTATTTGTTTTGTGTATAATCAAATAAAAGGATTATTGCACTGTTATTTAACTTGGCTTGACTTAATGATACTCTTTTGTGCAAACACTGCGCTTTGAATCAAATGGAGGATGCTCGCTTTAAAGATTACTGGTTTTGTGATCCTTTGCGACAGTAATTTACTTTGAATATAAATATTATTTCTCGTTGGTGGTTCAGTTTATTTGCCCATGTGAAAAGACTGGTTGCGATTTACTGTCTCTTGTATTAAATTAATTGTGTTACTTCTAGAAAGCTTTATTATTTCATTCACGAGTGTTTCGCCGCCTGAATAAGGATACCGGTGGCAATTCCTCCAATCCTCTCCTCCCAAATCCTTAATCCCCAAAGTCCATGTGCTTTGTCGATTGCTTACCGTCCGGTACGTCACCGGTGATACGTCTGCTCGTTTGCCGATCTATCCAATAAAAACTCATCAAAACAATTCAACAACCGTTCAAACAAAATGGAAGATCATTAGATTACGTATAAGTAATCTCTTGTAGTTCTATATCTACTATTTAGTTAATTAGAGAATCTACCTATCTACCCTAGAGCATACATCCACACATCAACCCATGAATACCCAGTATAAACTGACCATCAAATGTATGAAAAGATCATACGAAGCGAGACCATTATAAACTGGATATGTATAGTTCGATATGTAGCCGTTGTACGATTTGATGAACCTGCGACTAAGTTATGTGGCCCTGGTACATTGCAGTCGGTCTCCCTGGCAGAACAGGTTACTGTATTGATGGCCTATCGAGATCGACTACTTACTAGCATGATTCTCATGTAGTTTGTAACTTGTTAGTACTTTAAGTTAATTGCTAGAGATTGTCATCGTGTTACGAAGTGCAATCTTCATTCGCACCTTTTACTAGATTTGAACTATTATCGATGTACATTGTATAATATTTAGTTGGGTGTTGACTTACAGTCTGACTGACTTAAAGTCCTATGTCCTCTAGACGGGGATCCTATGTCCTATGACCACATAGTTGGATGTTAGAACATTAAACGCGAAGCTTGCACGATAAGGATTTGTTTACTTTTAAGAATTATCTCTAACATATGTGAGCATCACAGGTTGATCTAGTTTACAATCACTATAATATTTTATATAACTTGTATATTTGAATAAGTAATACGTTGTGTTGTTGCAGTGATGGTGTGAGCCCGCATGGGTCTGGCCGCGGCGCTGCTGGAGGCGGCTGCGCGCGGCGATGCGGCGCGGCTGGCGAGCCTGCTGGCTGCCGACGCCAGGGACATCAATGTCACTGATGAGGTATGTTATTACCATGTCATGATCATCGTCATGCTAGTCAGTATGTCGGTCTAACTAGACTAGACTAGACAAGGCAAAAGATATAATAATACACAACCGTGTGCACAGATACAAGTGCACTCACTGTTTCCTCCTTCTCTTAATTTGTAATTGGTTCTAGATAATATGCCATGAATTAAAAATTAATACTTAATTTTCATGTGAGAGAAATTATTACTTTATTTTAAGCATAGAAGATAAGTTTTCAAAGTAACGAACATTTACTTACGGTAAGAGATAAAAACCAGGTAACTACAAGTACCCATTTCCCCATATAACTAATAGTCACCTATCGCAGGTTGTCACAAAAGCCATTTAAAATAGTGTGAATACTGGAGCGTTTAATTGGCCTTCCATCATCGCGGGTATCATTATTTATTGAACTCGCTTCAATGTAGAGTGGCCGCGACTTAGATCGATCACTTTACTCAACTATAACAGGAAACGCGCGATAATAAAAACATTTTCTTACCGAGATTTATCTTCTTTGTCAGAATAAATAAATGGATAAGCTGTCTCGAAAAACATTAAGTTAGTTTCTTGCTTTTTTCCCATTCACATCGGATGCGCACCGCCCACGCGTTAATAGGAATAAAGAGGTCGCTTTTTATAATATGATTTTTTACAACAGACAACACAACATACGTGTCGGTGTTACCATAACAAAAGTAATCATAAACCATCTTATAATAATATCGACACACAAACCCATTATATTTTATACAAAAGGCAATAAATTGTATAAATGATAAATGGCGGGAGGATAATAAACATTAGCGCGGTATTTTAGCCAACAACGTCAGTTGCCGTCCGCCGTCCATAGCTCGCAGTAGCATCGTTCAACATGGAGTCGGCACCCAGCCGCGAACAAATTAATACCTCGCGAAATTAATGGAACTATCACACAAACCGATTTCACTCTTAAATCACGAGAATAAAGTTTGAAATTCAACAGCGTTGTAAGTAATTCTTTATAGCATTATATTTATGTTCCCATCGTCCACAGAGTTGTCCCTTTCGGAATCGATTAATGAATAATTAAAATGCATCGATACATCGTGGGGCGGTGTCGATTTATCTGGCTGTGTCGCTACAGGCTAGTTGGATATTGTAATTTGTATGTTCATCTTATTAAGAGAGTGCTTGAGGCAGCTGCGTGAGGGCGAGGTACAGGACATTGTCTCCGTCGTCCATCATCTCTCATCATACACGAGTCCCCACCCTGTAGCTAATGAGTACTTAATTTAATTAATGGCCGTTCGAGAGTAATCAACTACATGAGCGGTGAGAAACATTTGCAAGCAAATCCGATCATTAATTCTAAGATAGATGTTTGTGTCTGTGTAAATTAATCGTTCTGTAAAAAAGAAAAGTGGGAATGGAATCAATTAATTTATATTCTTTGGACATAATAAAATTAATCAATAGCAGTTTTATTTCTAACACTGTCCCCAATATTTCAAAATACAGTATTAAACATTATTTTCAATAACTAAAGCTTAATAAAAAAGCAAACAATCCAAATTGTCCATCCATAGATTTCACAAGAGAGGTAATTGGATCCCACGGCGCTGCGCAGGCGCAACATCATCAATCAAAGAACTTAGGCCCAGTTTTTCTAACAACCATGAACGTTTTAATTTTTCTTATTGTTTTACAAAATGACCGCTGAGAACTGCCTACATAGGCAATTAAATTATAGTCCACGGTAATTACGTCATCGTACACAACATCGAATAAAAAGTTTCCGTTAATTGCAATAATAGCAGACAATGCCGCGTTGAAAACTTCTGTCGTATCGTAACTAGTGTAATTATTCCCTCAACGTTTATTAATTATTTTTATGCAAGTAACTATCAATGTGTTTAATTAAAAGTCTTTATTACGCAGATAGATCAGCGTATCCGTTTCCGGCTACGTTTTGCAATGACGACCGGAGATTATTTCATTTAAGAGCCTTTTTACATAAGTAGATGAATGGGCCACAGCTCAATCTAATCTCTAAGAATAATAGCAATATTTTTTACATTACAACTAAAAACTACAATTTTGATGAGGTACGTTTGAACACGGGGACAATAAATAAGCAAGAAATCGCAATAGTTCTAAGGAGTTGTGTTAGAACAATTGCCAAGTCAAAGGTCAGCTCCTGCACCGCGTTACTATCGCGATCTGGGACCTTTGCCATCGTATCGCAGTCCCATCGCAGTGGTGTGTAAGCCTTAATTTGCAGGAAGTATTATAAAATGTATAGAAACTAACGCAACAGGACGTATTACATTATTTAGTTAGAGATCTCATAAATAACGTGTTTCTACGAAACAGGTGTCACCAGTCCCTCGTTAAAATACAAATCCAGTAGTCGCCCGCCATTTTAAATTGTTGACATAACACGATTCGTGCGGAAACTAATCATTTCGTGTTCTTACGGAAATGATTGATCATGGCATCTGTTTATTCAGCCTAGTATGGTCTATGGTCGAGTTGAGTAAGCGTTTGACATAATCATGGATCTTGACGGGGTTTTAAAGCTCAACAAGACAGAATGTTTTGCTTATGTCACAAATGCCTGGTTCAAATGCTTGCTTACCATTTATACTTATTAAGTTACTATTTTTTATTTATCACGTTTTACACAATTTTTTTGTACTATTTTTTATTATTTTGAACTTTTTAAGGGGACTATGTATCACTGCCAAAGTTAACAGTAAGAAAATAGTGAAAACAGCCGTATTTACTTAAATACAGACTTAGTTTGAAGTACCGGCCCTTCTGTACTTTTTTACGTTTATAAAATAAAACTATACAATTATTTACACTCGGTAAAAACTGTAGAAATAAACCAAACCGACAATATCAACTCGGTAGACAGCCCGACGCTTGTCACATTCGTCCAAAATAAAAAAAATCAAGCATCAAGATAAATTTGTAGAACCAGCCAATAACTTATTAAACCAGTTTGTACTAGAGCGGTGTTCTTATAGTTTGTGGTCTAAAAAGGTGGCCGTCTTAAAGTTTCCAAACAATTAATGTATTCACAATCAGCTTGGTTATCTCCTGTCATCTATGAGCCACCGAGCCTCCCCTCGCCGGGTGCCTGAGATCATTAAAAACTAGTCCGATCGCTGGACCGGTCCTTACGCACAACACTTTATTTTGTCGGACCCCATTTTATCTATTCTGCATCTGTGGTGTCAAAATAACTTTGTTTCTGAACGGTAGCAAGTGGTACGGAGTATTGGTTTTGAGAGATTGAATACACGGATAAGTAAAGAGAAACCATTATCTGATATAATGCCCGACATATTAAAGGCAGTTCATTAAAAGTTCAATATGTATTTCATTAAAGAGCCGCCTGTAAGTGTGCCCAACCACTTAAAACCTAATTTTGAATTGCCTCCTACAAATTGAATTCTTTATGTAGTAACATTAAGAAACTAAGTGTGGAAGAGCCATGCTTCGGCACGAATGGGCCGGCTCGACCGGAGTGATACCACGGCCTCACAGAAAATCGACATGAAACAATGCTTGCTTTGTGTTTCGCCTTGTGAGTGAGGTTACCGAAAGCCCAATTATTATTTTTGGGGAATTATAAACCTTGAACCCCTATAATCCTCAATTATCTAATCCCCAATGGTCGGTGACGCACTTGTAACGACTGGTGTTCCAGGTGTCTATGGGTAACGCCAATTTCCCTCAAGTGATTCTTCAGCTCGTTTCCCGACATTTACCAAAAATAAACGACGACTTCATCTTGTAAAAGCTTGTATAGGCTAAATAACTTAGCATTGCTTAAACTTATTGGATTCTACAATAAATACGTAAAGTGAAAAAGAAGAAAACGGTTAGATATTTTGCTAACTAGGTAACTTCAGACATACCAACTTTATCTACATCCCCATTTACTAAGATCCCGCAGATGTACAAGTCTTCTTTGATAAATCATAGAGCCAGTGTTTAAGATGCGCAGTCACGTAGCTGGACTCTCCGCGACTCATTTAAATTGACGTGTGATGTTAAAGGAGATTCATATACATATTTATATGAACCCAGTAAATATAATGGACTCACTAAAAGTTTGGTTTAATTGCACAAAGAAGACGTGCATCATATCCTAGCGGAATGTGATCGTATCAGACCGAATGTACCTATTAGTTATACGTTATTCGTGTACGCAATAATCGGGGTGACATTTTCTCTTATGAAAAAACCCTGTAAATAAATAAGGAAAAAAACTTTATTTTAATGACTTTCATAAAATGAAGTTAGACAGGAACTTTGTTTGGTGTCTTTCGCATTCCATTGTTGTAACTATTCAGAAAGGTCCTATTTAATCTTTCTAACATCATGCTACGATGAAAGTTGATAATTAAAAGCAGCTAAGCTATTATTCTGTAACTGTCAATTCGAACTTTCGAATTGAGCTCGATCGCATTCTCGGCGTCATTCGTCGAGACATTCTCACAACCAATGATATGGTGGACCGCGATCGAGTTCACTTTGGTCTTTCGAATCGAAAAATGGAAGGCACATCTGGGTATTAAAAGTGTATTCAGATTAAGCTAGACTCAGTTTTGTAAATGGCGACTTTTTAACCAATTCTTATTAAAAGTTTGATTTCTAATACCAATTTTATTGTATAATTTTATTTAACGAAAATATTGGGAACATAAAAATATTCTAATCAGCATTAAAGTAATAATTTACAACTAAGTAGATGAAACTAAGTTTTAAAGTAGGTATTATTAAGTTATTAATATTAAATTTATGTTCTACTTCCAAGTATTCCATCTACTATTATACTTTACGATGTTCTTGACTTCTTAATCTTATATTTTACAACATACTTAAGTGTCAACTTGGAACTATTTCCCTTTATCATTTTACGACTTAATACTTGCTCTAAATACTTCGCTATAGACAAATTTCTTTGCCTTACAGCGGGATATCCCGGGTCTGTG